AATGAGGTTTATATGCCTTCTATACTTTTGTTGACTTATTTCACTTTAGATCTTATCAGTTCATACAACACTCTATTTGTAACGCACAGAATTCTAACCAATAACAGTACTTCACGTAATTCTGGATATCAATGTGACGTGTGATTGAGTCTTAATAACTTTCCTGCTTCAGATTCATGGACTATATAGTGCTGAATAATATGAAAAGATTTTTATGAATTCAAAGCAGACGATGATTTGAAAGCGAGGGATTCCGGCCTATTTGAAGATACTATCCTGGTTTTCATCTGGAGTGACTTCGGAAAAATTAAGAAAAATAGTCACAATATCTTAAAATTGTCTAAATTCGAATCGTGAGTCTCTTAAATATAAGTCTACTGTGTTAGGCTAACTTAACCTGTTCCGTGGGTAGAAAACTATATGACTGAAAGAATAATAATAAATGCAACAAAGATTCTCTCTCTCTTATTACCAATCCATTCTTAGAGCAACTGACTGCGGAGTCCAGTGGCAGGTTATTTTCATCAGAGTTATGAGCCTTCGAGTTCCCAACGTTCCGCGAATTTCTTTCCCAGGGAAAAGTACACATTTTTCATACGCGCTATATGGGATTTGGGATACCTCTTTGGCACTGATGTCCACCGGCTCTTTTTAATACGGTAATAAATATTGGGATTTATATAGGGGTGAAAGGGGATTTCTTAACTAGTTGAGTTATTATATGCAAATCAAAAAAAAACTCTCTCTCTCACTGACTTCTTTTTACTTCGTTAAATATTTACCACGTCTAAAAATGCCTCAAATAAATTTAGGGATCGTATAAGCCGTATTACAATTTTCTTTTCTTGTGGGCCGTTTTTGAGCAAAACAACTTGTGGGTCGTGAAAGTACTTAAGTATAATACTACATAAATACAACAAAAATTAAATTTTTCTGAAAACAGCACGTTTCAATAATAAATCTGATCAAAATCCGTTTATGAAATTAGGATGTTAAAACACGGGGATTGGCGGGCGGCTATATAAGACGTCCCTATTACACTTCTATCTTAAATAAAGAAAGATATAAAATAAACAATTCTTATTTCTTTCACTCAGCTTTAAAAGGGCACATATTTCTTAGGACACAGACCACATTCGCCCATAGTCTCTGTAAGGGTATCACCCTTTGAATGGCTTAAAGCACACAGCCACATCTTGGTAGTTCCAAAGAGACAATAAATGTATGTAAATTAGCTGTGTGCCTTCTAGCAGATGAAAAGCCACGTGATAAATCCAGATGCATAATTTTGTGACGTAATTATTATTTCATAGACCTACGTTCCCTCGTTTGCTAACAGCAATGTTTCCGGTATTTTATACAGAAAGCAACTTCGATAAGGATAGGTTGTTAATTTAGCCACTGCAGCAAATAAAAAACGAACTGAACAACGCAAAGTTGTGAAAACAATTTCAACATGCCACACGGTCTAGTTTCACCTTCATATTCTGGGTTTAGAATGTGGGAAAGAAGACTTTAATTGCTACCATTACAAGTTTAACTTACCCCACTATCCCCCTTGGGTATAATCTTACTTAATTGTGTACTGAAACTTTTTAATGTTTCCTGAGATCTTTACTCCTTTCCAAAAAAGCTTAAACACCCCCATCCCCAACAACTCTCATCCCTTAACCTTATAGTTTGCTTTTAAAGTGTCCAAAATAAAGCCTTACTCCTTTCCATTAGAGAATTTCTAGACCTAAATGGGTGGGTTGGGGAGTGTAGACTAATGGTTTTCTGGGGCAAAGAACAACATACACCACAATGGTATTTCTGTTTTTCCTTAGTTATTAAGTTGGGTAAACCGAATAGCTAAACCCTGTGAGGTTTAAAAACGCTTTAGCACGATCGTACACTTAATTCCTAGTGCTCAAGCTATTTAAATCTTTCCTCGCTATGTACGAGATATCTCGCTTAAAAGCACTGCTCTTACTTGTCTGGATTTTACAGACATATTTCAGAATATCAGTTAAACAAACGCGTCCTGTCATGTATGGAATATTTAAGCGAACACTTTATCGCTCGTCCACAATTTAAACTAGACATTAGTACTGAAATGGTACCCTACAGCCTACCAATAACGGGAAGTTTATTCAAATAAACGCCAGCCAGAAATGGGTAGCTGTTACTTAAATATAAACTCTGAAGACATTTGGGCAATAACAAAGTTGGCATTGGTATTTTATAGACTGCTGAACTCTATATTAACACTTAAATATTAATTTCCAGCTACGGACCTCCGTTTAGAGAAAGCATTCATACAAACAAAAAATATACTGTCACCAGATAAGTAGACCCTAAGTGAGGCAACGGTAATCACTTTTCGAATAACCTGCATAAGACATTACGTCTTTCAAGGTGAAATAAGAAAAATGTCTATGTAGTTCATAATACGCAAGCAAACTGTGTTAAGAAATCCATATTATAGTATTGTAATCTTATGGGTGATGACACCGTGTAGTCTTATAGGTTGATACCAAGGTTCCAGAAAAACGTTACGTTTCCATCTTCAGGGATACGACTCAGTCTTTATGTTCCTCCGAAATACAGGCTGATTCTAAAAGAACTTTACAACTTTGAAAATGTATAGAAATTTATTCAGAAGGCTTACAGAATCTGTTGAGGTGTCATTTTGTAGCAAAACAAATCAAGTTTTACCAACCACCTGTTAGACTACATGGTATCATAACCCAGAAGGCCACAAGCTGATCTCTGCCGTGAATACCATGAAATTGGCCAAGTCAGGATTTATGCCCATTTCTTTCATGTTAACATTTACTAAAATTGTATTAATTTGTTAAATACAAATTTTTTGGTACTCGGTAAGCAGACATTAGTGCAAATTATTTTTACTTAAGACCTTCTTACAGAGCACCGCTTAAATATCCTTTACTGTTGATACAAGTTGTTAAGCGATAAGTTAATCAACCAATCAGAAAGCTTTGACATTTTTACAAAACACACAAGACTGCATTAATGTCAACACACTTCGAATGGTTCTTATACCCTGATCAAACTACATGCAGTTTCGAATAACATGGGAAGATGTCAAGAATTGTGATTAGTCATAGATAGGACAAAGGACAACCATGACCTAGCTGAAGGCATTATCGCAGCATTTGTCCAGGAGGAAAGGACAGTCAGGAAAAATTACTGCTGTACGCGTCCTGAACACAAGTTCAACCTCCTCGTAGGAGTCTAATATAAACACGCAAAGGAAATCTCTTTATATTTTACACAGACAAGGTTTTAATCAATGGTTAACAGGACTGAAACTCAGACCACATTTTATATTACATGCCCTTCGGCTGAAATGTTAACTACCATTCAAATAAACCGAAGTATTGCATAAGCACGGAACTTTGGTTCATAACCGTTGACTGACTGAAGATACTTTATATCAAAGAGAGTTTGAAAATGATAGACAGCGAAATACACAAACATCCAATTCACTGGAAGCAAATAAAACATCACTTCTGTAATAAACCGAGTTTGCCATGTCGCCGCATGTACGCAAACATGTTATAAAGGACGGACTGCAAATACATTACGTTTGCTACTCCGCGTGTACTTATAGCAGAAAGAGATCATTGCAACATAGAAACAGCCTGTATGACCAGTCACTGTCGATAATGTGTCTAAAGTACAGCTGAAGGATTGAAGACATTGAAGTGGTCCACTGGCCACACTGACATGAGTAGGTCTAATAATGGTTATAATATTTTGACGTCCATAAATTGTTAATTAAAAGGATCTCGTAATTTTACAATGATGATCCAAGTTAAAATACATTTTTATGATAAGGAAATAAAGGGGAACACGAAGGACTGGATATAGTACAGCTTGATCTATGAACCACGTGGAGGGACACGTACACCTATGGCAATGTTAGAAACAAAGCAATCTTAGTAATAAGTCTGGTATCGAATTTGAGACCTTCTGCACAGAAGGCCGGCGCCTTTATACTTAGAAGCCGAAGCTCATCTAAACATACAAATTTTAAATTCTGAGTGCTCGCAGCTGTTACAAGTAAACACGTTAATAGGTAAGTTAAATCTGATGGACACGCTGACAATATTATGTAGGCACACAACTTTAAATATAATCCTGGTACCGTTCAACATGTTTATAATCTCATAAATATACTGATTTAATATTTTAACAATTTATTTACATATAATTTAATTACAGAATTTCTATATGCATGGTAGCATAATTCATGAAGTTGTTGATGACGAAAGAAAATATTGTATAACCAAAGTCATTCAGCCAAATTGTACATAGTGAACAAAGCGAGACTTCGTCATTTTAACAAATTAAATTTAAAATAATCCGACACAAATATCAGTGCAATAAAAATTAATTTGTATACGCTTTCCAGACTGATTATATTATGAGAAATAGATTCATACACTGGTTTCTCTCAGGGTCCTTCGGTTTTACCCTATTATCATCATTCCACGTCGCTCCTTATTGAGGTATGGACAAAGGGCCCGTTACCGGCCGCAGTTCCACAAAGGCATAAAACCCTCCCTTCGCAACAAAATCATTAAAATCAAATACAGATTACAATTTCTTAATAAGAAGATAATTAGGGACACAGAAAGTATGTGTCGGGTAGAGATATGTCCGTGGGACACTCGAGTTAATGGCGCAGAGATAGAATAGCTACTTTGCTGAACTTGTTTCGTTCGAAAGCAGTTTAAATCTATAATTTGTAAACTGAGTGCATTATGTCACATTCGAATATTTAGAGGCAGGATGTACCATTGTTGTTTGACGGATATGCTCATCTGCAGTAACACATTAGTGATGTTGCCTGCCAAGTCTTCATTCAAATGATCACGCACACAATGGCATGTGTTCTGTGTATTCTTTTCATCTGCAGAACCTTGGATGTGTCCGCGTGATGTGTAGTTAACCATTTTTAAATGACTTCCCAGGAAACGGCTGTGCAGTTCTCCAACAGAGGGCAGAGACCAACATGCTGCATTTCATATTAATGCTCGGCGCTTTGCTGCTGGTCACCAGCAACTTCTGCCATGCTTGCGGTCGGTTATGTTTCCAGCTGAATGAAAACGTAAGTGGTTTCGCAAAAAAGACGATTACCGAGTGTACTGTTAAGTAAAATACATTAACCGTTTCCGTTCTGGGTTTAATTTCGTAAGCAATAATTATTTGTACGGTTGTTGGGAAACAAACCTTAAGCAAATAGTTACATTTATCATTAGTTTTATGTTATACTATGTTTTAATGGCGGATGTGACTATAAATATGACGAAGTTTCAGTTATATTAAATTTCTTAACACTCCATTTAAAAAGAGGAAGAAACTTGATGCATTTTCCTTATCAATGTTTTCAAGGAAAAACTGATTTCTTATCTATTTAGGAAACTGTTATTCTACGCATACCCACTAAGTCCATCAGAGACCACTCTACTTTCGCTGTGAACTATAGTTGTGAATTGTAATTTCAAAATCAGTTCCTTAGCCAAATTTGTTTCTCTGCTGCTCTGTAGGAGCGTTGACATCTTTAAGGCCGAATGTATTTTGCTTACCGATATTAGTCAGAACTCTGCTTCTACGTACCCGAGACAAAACTTTCTCCTGAGGTACCTAATGCAGCAGCTATTTCCGAAATACATTTTGTTTTTAATATGTGTTACATATTATTATTATTAGAGTGGTAATAGTATCCTCTCATCTACGCCTCGGTCACCGAAGTAAATTTTCCTTTGCAGCTTACTTACTTCTTTTATAAGCATTTCTTATCTCCCGCACATTGCTTGTTCTATGTCCGCATCATCTTCCATAATTTCATCAAACTAATAAAAGCAGATGAAATGAGTAAATTTTGCCTTTCCTCATAATATAATTTTCTCGGCCCTCCGCCCTTCCGTTGTATTTCATGTTTCACAGGCCCAAATATTCATAACTTTGTTCTAAATCACGCTCAATCTATGTTATATCATCAGGGTGAGAGGCTAACAAGCGAAACACTTTAATAAAGAACAGGCAAGATTTCGCTACTATACACTAAGATTTAGGGTTTTATATAGGCCACCCGAAATTAAAACATTATGGGTTAAACGGTAGTAAACATTCCCCAGATTTGAATTGCGAGTAACTTCTATATACATGGGCTTCAGATGGAAGTGTAAAAATGATATTACTGTGCTTATTAATAAACAAAAGATAAATCTATTTACTAACCCCTTTGGAGATTCTAAGATGATCCACACCCGTAATTACAGCGTGATACAACATGCAATATTACCATTACCATATGATTACCGACCTCTTAATATAACCGACCTCTTAATAATTTGCTTTAAAACCCGTTAAACATAAGTTTAAAAAACAAATTTTCAGATTCCACTGACTGAAGCGGGAATGATAGGCTACAAGCCCTTTTAAGAATCAAAATCTAGACGTTCAGTTCAAGAGAATGTTCCTGTAATGATAACATTCAAAATCAACTTTCAGAATTATAATGTACATAACACAGTGCGCTGCAACTTCGACTCTTCTTACACGATTTTATCCGTGATGTATCAGGTCCAGCCAGTTATCAGATTCCTACATTGTTTACATTCTTCTTTATTTGCGTATTTAATTCTTTCCAGTCATCTACTTACAATCTTATTTAATCCTTAAATTCTTACTTTTCTAGGCCACTGATTCCTTAATTTTTCCTTTCCTTCCTCATTCCCTTTCACCAATTTTTTCCTTTCTATCTGCCTGAATATGTCTATGTATGTAGACCCACGTTATTTACCCTGGACCAATCTGTGCGTTTCACCTACGTCACTAACGTGCGGCTAGAAGGGGAAAAATGAATTCACTATGTACACCAAAGACATTGCCTACACGAAAATTTAAACAGCGAGATATGAAAAAGTACCGCTGGGAAATAACGTTTATACCATGAGCAGTAAATGCTTCATCTGTTACCTCATCCAACTACTATGATCATCTTGCCATTTACTTCTAATGGACATGGACCACACAGATTCATTACTCTGTGTGTCTGTCTACCTCGTTCTTCCTGCTTCTTGCAGTGTGTGTCTGGTACATGCTGTCCCGGGCTTGCCTGCATTCCTCCTGCACAAGGCGGCTTGATCGGACAGTGTCAGAACTCCAATGCAAGACTGTCGCAGGTAACAAAGTGTGCATAAGTGGCACTTACTCTACCAGTATCATAGAAACGCAATTACTTACAGCTCTTGCACTAAAATGTTATGTACCTGTACATTGTGAGTACATACCGAACTCAGACGTTCAAAGAACTTTGTGCACGATTATAACAATTTAATACTCCATAACAATGCTCCTGGTGTTAATATTTACGTTTGTGTATCGGTTTTCTGTTCTATGATAACGTACTTAGAACTTTGTTATACATAGCCTAGATGTGAGTGATATTTAGCAAAGCAAAATGTGTGATTATGATTGTAATTATTTTTAATTTTCTTTTTGTTTTACAGATTGGTGATGAAACATTGAAATAACCTTACGAATAATAATAGTAATTTACATATATTTCTGCATATCTCGAATTGTAAACATCATAAAAATCTCTATCTAAAAGAGTCTTGATCATCGCAACTGACGCTGAATTAGTGTATATATATATATATATATACACACACACACACACACACACACACACACACACAGACAGAGTAGTTCACAGTATAAGTTTGAGGCTGCGTTCACTTTTCTTAACTTTTCACTATCAGCGACATATGATAAAGCATGTTCCTGCACTTATTAAGATCGTTTTTTATTTTTCACAGACAGTAAAGGTAAAATATCCTCTTGTGTCTAATGGATGGAAATTGTTAAAACCTACATCTACTGCAATGTTTAAAATTGTTCTTTTGGCCTTTGTCCATCGTATAACTTATAAATCCATAAAATAAAGTTTCGAAAGCTGGATTCTGCTTCTGTCTTCAGGTAAAAAGGGGGGAAGAGGACAGAAAAACTGTCTGCTGGATAACACGAAAAGATAAAAAAAAGAGGAGACGTTCGGCCAAATTTCGAGCTATTAGCATGAAAGGACTGATAAAACTCAGAAGCGTCCAATAAAATGAGCATCAGACGGGACTGAGCCCAAATCTCCTAAACAACAATCAAATTTAATTGCCGGCGAGCCAAAAACATCAAATAAAAGGTAAATCTAAAGGAAATTATTCGTAAGACAAACGAGAATCATCATATGAGGGTCTCAAAATATTACCCGAGAAATTTTGCTGAAGCAAAAGCAGGTGCACAGTTAATACAGAGGAAGGCAATAAGATGTTGTTAATGTGGAACACGCACGCTAGAGCGCATACAAGTCGTCTCACTACCAGGGTCTACACTTCTTAGTAGGAAACGTGACTCTTAGGCTGAATTGACCTTAAAAAAGTAAGTAATCAGAAAGTTTCTATAGACAATTGCAACACCTTAACCCCCCTCCCCAACCAAACCAAACTTTGCTGGCCGACTTAAGCTATTCTACGCATGCTGTAGTTCCATCACACATACATTGTGCAGAAACAAAACACTGAAGAAAATTATAAGTTTCGTATTTAGAAATATACGGGTTGCTTGTCGTTAATCTAATCCTGCGTTCAAAACGAGTATCTTCATGTTTCGACAAAATTAAATTCTTTTATTCGGAAATTGCCCACGTTGTAAAATTAGGCGTAAATGTGACGACAATATTAAAACATATATACAAAATGTTATATATGGATGTAATGTGGATTCATCTGACAATATTTTGGGTATGGGAAAACAATAAACATAATGCCTGGGGATTTTCTGACCAGCTCAACGACTCTACTCCATGAAAGTAGACGGTGGACGCATCAGTGTGTGTGAAGCGTAAAATAAGAACACCTTAAATATAATTCGTTCGCTTATGACAAAACTGACAGCTCCATAACACACGCACAGCATCCAATACTATTTATCACTGCTGCTTTTCAGTTCTGTAATGTGTTCCGAAACATTGAAGAATCACTTACTAGAAATTTTAAGTTGCCGGTGTTTAGAATAGCCCACGTAAAATCTTCAACTTTGAGGGACGAGAAATCATATCACCTATTGTGTTGAGGTTAGTGAGCAATAAGGCGAAATTGTTTGAATCTTTGTTAACATACTGGAACAGAAGAGATTGAGGAGCAGACGTTAGATACAGAGAGAGAAAGAAGAAATGGTATAGGAGACGAGGTCACCTATTCCGTAAACAATAGAATAGTAAATGTTTAATAAACTAAGGCAAGTCAGGATTTTATGATGAGGATTAAGAATGTTATTTACAGTACAATTTAGGTCACCCAATAGCTTCATTTATTAGTCGTCTAACGATAAGTCTTTCCAGTTGTCTATTCCACTAAATAAACCAGGAATTGCGCAATTAAATATCCACAAATGGAAACTTCCTGCAACAATTACTACATGTGAATAAATCATTCCATATTGCCAGTCACTGCTTCCCGATAATGAAATGATCAGTATATTATTGCCACCATATAGATATCAAAAGATAAACAATAACAGTAACAAGCTAAAATGTTACAGGAAATGACATATTTAACCACACAGAACTAAAATCTAGTCGTGAATTACGGCCTGGCCATTAGCAGTCTCCTGGGAGAACAGCTATAATTTGTGCAACTGCGTGCTAAACATTTCCTAGTGCGAATGGCGCATGTTAAGAAATTGAAAGAGAAATTGTGAGAAACAAATACGATTTAACACCATCTTCTACCACTTTCAGGATAAGCGAGCATTAAATACTTTTTAGCCGGTAATGTGTTGAATCATAAATTACTACGACAATTGCAGTTATGCAGTGTTGAATGGGTTGATGTGATATTTATGTAGAATTGGAAAGACTGGGAAGGAAACGACAATGACCTGGGAGACTATACAAAAATTCGTCTGGAGAAAATCCACGACGAACTTCTTCAGAAAACTAACTCTAAGATTGAAATGGCGTACATGTCGATATCAAGTCAGCAGAGATACGTATTTTGGAAACAGAAGAAAACACGGTTTATTCTTTGCAACATAAATGCATTAATACAACTTAAACTCATCTTAACATGTAAACATATGTTTATTTAGTTACATGGCTGGAAACAAAGAGTTTTCCCCGCTTCAACGTACTCTTTTAACAACGCAGATTACAAAGTCTTTCCTATGTAATTAATTTTCGACACACATTTCTAAGTACTACTGCGAGCAATAGCATGTTTCAAACAATACTGACATTCTTTCATTCATAAACAGGCAACGGATTCCGTATAAACTAGAGGCGAGCTGCCAATTTGTTAACAAGGGGCTCGCAACACATATATATATATATTCATTTCGAAGCAGAGACGGACAAGGTGCATCAAAAAATGGATATATGTGTGTCGAAATTTTGATACTGGTATACCACCTGTATAATCTGATATTTTCTGTAGCTAAAAATTAACAAGGGACTCGCGCGGGCCCCTTACAGGACACCCCTGGTAGAAATAACGCTCATCACGATCTACAAAGTAAATCACGTGTTCAATGTTCGTCGATTAATCATACAACTTAGAAAAGCTTGCTTCGAATACCCTTTATCACCACAATGCCTGTCTGTGGTTCTGCAAACCATAGTTCACTACACGCATCCCAAATATTCCACACAAATATCTTGAATTTTGCAGCTACGCCACAGTAAAGAACTTATACCTCGGAATTCGGATGCGGAATCCAATATTCAGTGAAACAAGGGAAATGATGAAGCATTTCAAGGCTGTGTACATCTGGGTGCTACAAACGGCAGCATCTTGTTGCGAGTTTAAGCACATTTACTATACAGGCCGTATATTTATCCCTTGCTTAAAGGAGCGTGGTGAAGTAGATGGAACAGAATCTGTTTGGATGCGTTAAAAACTGCTTCACGGCAAGATGCCTTAAACGTGACTCAGTATGTCTGTCTGTAACGCGAGCCATTCTCTTAGATAGTGAAGAAAACATTTCTTTCCTGAGACCCCAAATAAAACATGAAAGTTTTAAGAAAAGGATCTACAGAAAACTGTAGGCCCTCTGCCTCAATCTTCAAGGGACACAGACCTAATTTCAATACAATGTCCTGGAGACAAGCTCGTGTGTTTTTATGATTTTATATAAAATAAGGATACTTTAAACATTAAAAAATATATTTTAAATATAAATTAATTATTTAAACTGCCAATTTAATAAATATAGTACAATAAGTTTTGGTCATTACATGTCATACAATTATCTCTTATCCCTGACAATGCAGGTCGGACCAATTCTTGAAAATGAATACTTTGACCTGACGCAGTTATTTGTCGTAACTAAATAAGTGTGTTTACAGGAATATTGGTGACACGAAAATAATGAGAAGGAGAAATGCATATACACGGCTCGGTCGTTTCAGTAGTAAATATATGAAAATGTAAACTGAATTCAGAGGAAGGGTCCTGTGGCTGGGATTTGTAAACATATTTATGATTTTTTATGTTCGATGAAGACATGTCTACTAACGAGGTTACTATTATTATTTTAAAAGAAATCCTGCTGCTTGAGATTCGTCAAGAATAAGTCTAACGATTTAGTGTATCACATCAGAAGTGAAAGTCTTCAATACTTGTACTACTTTGCGATTGAACAATTCATTGGATTTTGACTGGAAGCTCGGTAGCGCATTCAGACCCAACTCTACTTCTCTGTTAATTGAACTGTCATGTTTCTGCGGTCTTACGCACATGGACATCGGAATAAACTTGTGACAATATATTCAATTAGCCGTGGTGGTAGTTTGATGTCAAATTAAACGAGCAACAAAAATAAATATAACCAGCACTGAACACAAATGATGATCTAAAATGCGCATTGAAATATTGGTTTTCAAGAAATAATAAATCCTGTAACTTTGTAGTTTCACGTATGGTGGAAAGTGATGCAATCCAGTGCCAGATTGTGGTGCAATAATTATCCTAGCAGTTTAAGTACAAAGTACGGTGAGGGTGGAAGGGAGGGCAAGAGAGGGCCTGCTAATGAGTCGCTGGGGAATAAGCTCTAAATTTCAAGAACACAGAATCTACGAGAGCAGGAGCAGTGCTGCTGTGAATTAAAAACAAGACTTTAAATTATTTGAGCTGAAGACATCCCGCGCAATGTGTCGCAAGCATACAGAAAACTTCAACGCTCACAATTCCGTTCAAGAATTCCTTTCGCGAAGAAAATAAGCTCATTCTGGAATATTCCACCCCTACAAGAAGCCTTTATCTTCTTTCTACACTTCATAGAGATCCACAGTTTTTATAAGGTGTTTATGGAAAGCAGAAGAGTGAATATGAGACTCCGTGCATTCAAAACAAAAACATGTAAAGCTGTATCTGGACAAAAGCAGCATGTCAGGACGGTGTATACATGTATACACAGAGGTTCAACTCCACGCATTCTAGACTTGGACACTAAATGGTGTGTTTCCTCAGAAACTTTGTTTTCAAACACTTACAATTTATGTTGCAGCCATTCCTTGCGTACGAAACCTCGGGAGAATAATTACAGGATGAAGATCGGCGAAGTGTTGCCCTCGAGTGTCCAGTACCGTGAAACGCATTTCGCTTGTTATCCTGAGTTTAAATACACGTTAACAGTTCGTAATGCTGTATACTCGGTTTAATTGAGTTATTCGCGTTGCGCTTTCTACATGCCGAGCGAATTTTCTGGTTCTAGTGCCACTAAGTGAGCGAGCAATCCTTTATACGTCTGTTAATGGCTCGAGTGTTTCTTAAGGGGCTTCAATTGCCCTTCGTTACGATCATAATTCACTCCACTAGCAGCTACACGATATGAACACAACACAAATACCTCACAAAAGTATATTAACTTTCAAGAAGAGCTTTCAGGGTAAGTACTATTTAAAAGAGAAA